TGGTATCGAGGGTATATTTTTTGGCGTGCGGGAAACTATAACGAAAACGGTATGTCTATGTATACTGCCGTGCTAAGGAAGAACGCCGTATGCACATTCGAGAGTTGCCATATTGCCCCAGATAAAACATGTATTTTAGAGAACAATTGTACGTATATTTCCTTGATATTTCGTATATTTTACACAAAATTGCGGACAAAATTGTCCGAAAAAATTGAAGAAAAAAATTCACAATTTTCCCAGTAAATTAAGGTTTTATTGAAGGGAATGTGGCATCGTCTATAAGTTCATACGGCGTTCTTCCTTAGTACGGCGGTATATACTACCGTGCTAAGGAAAAACGCCGTATGAACCTTTAGGCGTTGCCAAATTTCCTCCAGAAAATACCGAATTTACCGAGAAAATTGCGAATATTATTTTCCAAAATTTCCAGGCAATTTTGTACGCAATTTAATCAAAAATATCTGAAAATTACAGGGGAAAATATGCATAGATTTCGTCAAAAATACATGTTTTATCAAGGGAAATTTGGCAACTCTTGAATGTTCATACGGCGTTTTCCCTTAGCACGGCAGTATAGCCCGTAAGTATGTATGTGTCGCAGGCAAATAGCGAAATCAGGCATTTTGTCAAATGCCCAGGCAGATAGTTAAATTTTGACGGTTTATACAAAATTTTGTGAATCCATGGCGAAGGCCTCACGAATTTTCAATGTTTTTGGAAAAATAACTCATGGAACCTACGATCTCTTTTTGTCTCTTCCTCTTCAATTGCTTCTCATATTTTAAAATGTTGAAATTCCGAAAATTTTGTATTCCATGACATGCTGAAAATTTCAAGATAAATGGCTGCTCAGAAGCTAAAAGTTGTTTAAAATACTATTGTGCGATGCAAATTTTTACTGAGAATTTAATCTCACGCGAGCAATGAATTATTTTGTGTAAAATTAGGAAAATAATCAAAATTTCAAACTAAGTTCGAACATTTGACTATTCGCCTAGGCATTTGACAAAATGCCTGATTTTACTATTGGCCTGCGACATATGTAATCGTACGACTGGAGTTTTTTTTTCAGTGCGGGGAAATTATCCTACTGTGCGAGGGATGCCCGAGCCCTTTGGAAGACTTGCGCGCGGACCGCGGGCAGGGCGCGAGGGATCGGCAGGGAGGCTGCGAAGCTCGGGGCTTCAGTCCGACTTTGGTGCCGTCGTTATCGGTCTCGCCCGCGCGTCGCGCTTCTCCAGTCGCGAGATCCCTCGAATGATAAGAACAGTCAGCGTTTTGTATTCCGCTCCGTCTTCAGCGGTGCTCCGTGCTTTCGGCCGATTTGTGACAAGTGATTTCGGATACTTCCAGGCCATTTACACCGTGTTGAACTTCGGGTTCTCAGCTTTGCCGGCTTCCCACTGCACCGTAACAGATGAACAAATTGCCTGATTTCAATGCTGCGAAAGTACTTTTTGACCCCATAAATCATACGCCGGATTTCTTTTCAAAATTTTCAAAACCTATGTTTTGAACTTTGGTTATCGTAGTTCATCGGCTTTTTCATTCGGCTGTTTTCAAAGTGAAAAATTAAACTTACTCAATGCTTCCGTCTGAATAATTTTTTTTCGAAATTTCAGCGGCCGTGTACGTGTTGATAAAGTTGCCGGTTTTTTGCTACAATGATTAGTCGACAAATTGGCTACTTTTAAGGTTTCTCTTGGTATTTTTTTACCTAAAAATTCGTTGGATTATATTTTTCAGTGTCGCAAGCAAACATTTCAGTGGTTCCTAATAACCTTCCTATGTACATATTAGTGCATTTCAATTGAATGTGGTGGTTTTGCTCCTTAACCTTTAGTCAAATATTTTGAGGGGAAATAATAGGCAGGCTATCGTTTTACGCGTGACTTGTTTGGATAATTTCAATTTTATCAACTTTATAGTGTTTTAAGTTTATCAAGAAATCTTTAAACTTTTATAATCTTTTGCCCAATAAACAGTCACTAAACGCCATTCATTCGATAATTTTGTGTTTTATCATGTTATGCTCAATTCTTTGAAGAGCTATCTTTTTTTCCAGTGCATTACATAATGCAAATAAGAGAGGAAAGCTATGAAAATTTGCACCTACAGTTGTTTTAGTTATCTATAAATCGTGCGATTGTCTTCAACTGAAGACTAAGTTCAAATTCATCTGTCTGAAATCTTGCATTTATTTGTCGACCTCTCTTTTCAAATTGTGCGCTTAAATTTCCGGATAAGAATCGAATAACCTTAAAATTTTGGACATAAATTTCGCCGCAGATTCTTGTGTCGTGAGTGAGATCGAGTGTTCTCTATTTTAGTGTGTTCATCGGGGATGTAAGTGTTTGGTGCAATTTAGAAAAATTTACAAAATTTGGAGCGGACTGAAATTCCGTTAAATCTCGTTTGCTTGGAGTAAATTCCTCAATTTTCATCGGAGACTTATTCAGTTCATCCTCCGTCGGTTTTCTCATCTTTTTCATTTAAGGTATGTACACGTACACCTTTCTCAAAACTTCACTACAAAATGCTGTTTTGACAAAATATTCCGCCAAGAATTGACATTCTTTTCTACGAACTGTGATTTCTCTAAAAACAAATGACATTTTTTTTCAAACGAGAATTTCATCGCAGAAGTAATTTAATGGATTTTTTTTCAATTTAAAGGTTGTCCGTAAATGATGAAAGGTAGTTTTTCCGATTTTTAACGCCCTCCTCTCCATGTCTGGCACCTTAGATGGAATTACTGGAATATGCTATAGGCCTCCGTATACACAGCCTCCGTCAAACCTGCTCAATGTCATTTACAGTCGACCTCCAAAATGGAATTTTTTCTCGATGTGGAAAATATTACCAGTTGCTAACTTGCGTTCGGATAGCGTCAAGCGAGTCAGTTATTTCTACATGAAGGATTTGAAAATAACACTCATTTGCAAAAGTTCAGAGCTGACAACATATGTTAGGTAAGATCGTATGTTACATCGAAAGGAGCTCGGACAGCGCGAACGAGAGGCTGGGAATATAAGCAGCACTTGCGAAAAAACACTCAAGGCTCCATTGAATTCCATAGCCACTTAGGTGCTTTAAATCGATATGATTCATTTGCCAACCATAATTCCCGTTTATATACGGTCCAGCAAAACGAATCACAACTACGAAAATTTGATAGTTAAAAAAAATGATGCTTTATGATTTTATCATACAGCGCGCAGCGTTTTTACAACATATAGCGCTTTGGATCGAATGGTGTAGATGAAAATAGATTCAAACGTAATTGAGTCTTTAAGATCGTAGGAGCTCAACATGCATTCTCAGGGCCAAAATTATGGGTGGTATTCTAAGTATTGATGGTGAGTCGAAGTATCCTCCGATAACTATTCCAACGTAGCAGTTTGTGCCTATTGCACAGATTGAAGGCGCCCCTTATTTTAGCAGCATAGCCACGAAAGCACGTTGCCAAGATCCTCCTTCTTTTTTCCGGCCAAAATGGATATAAGTTCAATGGATTATTTTACTCGATACATAGACAAATGAACCGCATTCAGCAGAAAAGAACCAAGCCACATCAGATTTTGCCAAATTCAATTGGGCAACCTAATTTTTTAACATGAAAACGGTAGTGCGGATTTTTGTGGGAACAGTGAATTTTCTGCATAGTACGAAGCAAATTCCTAAAAAACTTCAACAAAATCCGCACCATTGCTGATGTGACTTGGTTCCTTTCTACTAATTGCGGTCCATATGTAATAGTTTAAACTGAAGGTGAAAACGTCTGTGTTTTAGAAGAACATGGTTTAAAGTTGGTATATTATAATGAGCTTCAAGGCTCATGAAACGTGTGATTTGATGTTGAAGAGCTTACATTCGAATTTTTATGTCAATCTTTTACTCTTCTCCTTCTTTTGTTCACCCAACCTAACTCCCCCGTCCCCTCTCCTCCCCCTTCTCTTAGACTTTACTTCCGATCTTCAACATCGCCGGTATCATATTGTTCTTTAAACGCAACTTACGACTTTCATTCACCGGAAACTACTATGGAGCACTAAATACGTTCATAAATCAAGCGTCATTATAAATGCCACTTCATTAGAATTTTATGTAGAGCATCGTTAAAACGTCGAAACATCCTTCAGCTCATAAGTGAGATATCAAGGTTTTACGTGCTCGTAAAATTAAACTCACAGCCCACTATAATGAGGCAGAGGTTCACTCCACCCAATCGGGCACCAATTTATTTTAAGTGGATTTTAAGATTATATAATTCTCGCGGGGTTTTCGTTTTTTTTTGATGATTTTCTGTAAGTTTTTTGGTTTGAAGCTTTCGGTTCGTTAAACTTATCCCACCGTTCACAGAACAGAACATTCCGGTTCGCGCAATCCGGAGTTTAGTCCCGTGAATTGGACAACTCGTACCGGACTTATCGATTCATAAAAACGAGGGGGTTTTTCTCCGTAGGTGTATTCTGTCGTGCTAGGAAGGAACAACGCACAAACATTCGTGAGTTGCCAAATTTTTTCCGCTGAATTTTTTTTTTTTTTCAGAAAAGTTAGGAGTATTTATCCTTGAAATTTTCAGGAAAATTAACTAGTTGAAATTGCGAACGAAATTTTATGAAAAATCGGGAGAAAAATATTCATAAGTTTACCAATGTGTTTTAAATACTAAGGGAAATATTGCTTTGATACCTCTTTTTTTATAAAAAAATTATATGAAGAAAGATATGGATGCAATAATTTCTCTTATTATTTACAAATAGGATACCTACATGAAGCTTTTCAGTTAAACATTGTTTTATCAGAATTCATGAAATTTAGCAATGCCTGAAGCCTCATAAGGTGTTCGTCCTTAGCACGGCAGTGTTCTGCCCTGCCAAGGAATAACGTCGTATGAGCCTTCAGGCGTTGCCAAATTTCCTCCGGCAAATCACTAATTTTCAGGCAAAATTTATGAATATTTTCCCTCCAATTTCTCAGAGAATTTTGTTTGTAATTTGATCAAAAATGAGTGAAAATTTCAAGGAAAAGTATTTATAATTTTCGTCGAAACTAAACATTTCATCCAAGGAAATTTGGCAACTCTCGGATGTTCATACGCCGTTTATCCTGAGCACGGCAGTATTTCACGCAGATTTGCAAGAGGAATTTCCCAAATCCCGACAAGTTCGGCAACGCTCCCGTAGATGGCCCGCGCCCAACATCTCCCCGTCGTCCCCGAATTATGTAAATGAATATAGCCTGCCTTCAATTGTTCTCGCAGGGAGGAGGCGGGCGGGGAGGGAGGGGGGCGAAACACCCCGAGGCGAAGGCGCGGGGGAGGGGGGGGGGGCTCGGATCCTCCGTCTCCACTTCTTTGCCGCCTGGCAAATCCTCGAGCCTCCATCGCTCAAATCAACTCGGCATAATTGCGAGGCGGATAAATGAGCCGAAGCCACCCTAAGCCCCGTCGTCGGAGGTGTTAGGGTAGGTGAGGGGGGCGGGGGGGATTTTTGCCGCGGCCCGCTAATCGCGGCTAATTCGCGATTGCCATCCGATCGGGGCGCGATTAAGTCCGAGCCCCGTTCCGAGCGACCGACCCGAGTTTCCCGGGTTCCGCGCTCGTTGCTCGTGTTGTGTGCGCCCGCGATGAGCCTTGAATTTGTCCACGGCTCCGCGTCACTGCACACACAAAAAAAGAAAAACAATAAGATACCCTTTCAACTCCTCTCTACGTACAAATTAAGGGCTTCAAAAAGAGGCTCGAAGCGGTTTATTGATGTAATGGACCACTAGACGAGGTACAAATGGAAAATTTGTATGCAAATCTTTTATTGCTTCGTCTGAAAGTGCTTAAAGAGCTAATTCCACAGTATTTTTTTTATAATTTTTACAGAAAGAATATGTACCCTAAGTTCCATGGAAACCTTTAACTCTGCATAATAGGGAATTGTTCCCTACTATTCACTGCACTTCTTGCCAACCTTCCCTTAGTAGAGGTCTAAGCTACCCGTTGGAAGTATGATAAGTTAAAAAATAATTTTTCGAATAACGCGCAAAATTAATTTCAAAGCACGAGTATAGGCCAAACCATGCAATTTGATTAACATTTACGGCAATACGAGGAATTGAAATCTAATATTCACAATTCTTTAATCTTTTTGGATTCTGAGAGCTGCATGAAGCCAAAGACGCTTGCAGGCTGATTATCGAAATTGATAGACAAAGCTATAGAGGTGGTATGGAGCAATCCCATCGGTTAAAACTGGTGGTCCTGACTGACTAACGGAAAATGATGGACTTAGTAAAGGTTCTCATGTCGATTGCCGTTAGTTAGTTTACTACTTACCTCCTTTGACCATCGTGACCACCCGCTTCCACCAATAGGATCCCTCCAAATCCCTTTTGTCTTCTTGGTCTATAGTTTTGTCTATCAATTTCAATAATCGGCCCGTGGATTCAATCAGAAATGAGCTTTTCGGGGTCCATCCTCTCACTTTATAAGAACTCTTTACTGCGTTACGTACTGTGTCCTATATTCTGCCGTGCGAAGGAAAAACGCTGCATAAACCTTTGCCAGTTGCCAAATTTTCTTCGATCAGATACGAATTTTCAGGAAGACTTGTGAATATTTTCCGTTCAAAGAGCTTGATGCAAAAACGGCTTTTTTCGCCCCCCCTCTGGAAGTTCTTCAGACTTTGTCTATTGATTACTCATACTTGAGCGCTTCTTTTCCCAAATTTTCAGACCCCCAAAAAATTTTGGGGGGGAGCTAGGGGGGGTGGAAGTCAAAACCTGTGGACCTCGATATCTCTTGAACGAAGAAAGATATCGAGGTCCGGTTTGGACGAAAAATCGTCTAAAATTGCATACTTTAAGATTCTAAAGGTCGAAATCCCAATATCACATTTTTAAGTCAACATATGTGCTTTTTACCAGTTTTTTGGTCTAGAAAATTTCTTTTAAACGAAAAATTTACAAAGATCTCAATTTTCTATTTGAACCAAAACCAGTTTTTTAAATTGTTCGTCTTTTTTCGCATCCAACGAGTGGTCCATTAAGCTGGGGAACCAAACGGTTCCGGAGTTATGATCGATTGAAGTTTCCGCTCAACGCGCGCCGACCGATTTTCGCGCGCAAAAAAGTCGGATTTGACTGTTATTACATCAGATTGAATGTTCAAACTGAGCAAAATACTTTATTAGGGACTCTTGAGGGTCGCTGAGTTCAGAAATTACCGATACTTCCAAAAAACTCACGTTTTTAAAATTACAGCTCCGCAGCGCTATTTTAGAGACCCACTGAGTGCCGACCGGCCGCTCAGTGGTCCTGTCCGAAGCTGCAATTTTAAAAACGTGAGTTTTTTGGAAGTATCGGTAATTTCTGAACTCAGCGACCCTCAAGAGTCCCTAATAAAGTATTTTGCTCAGTTTGAACATTCAATCTGATGTAATAACAGTCAAATCCGACTTTTTTGCGCGCGAAAATCGGTCGGCGCGCGTTGAGCGGAAACTT